GCATGAGACAAGGCATTTTTAGATAAAAGCATTTATACCGACTGCGAACTGATGCCAAACAAACAACGATTCTCTACCAACTTATATATATCAAGCAATTCAACCAGAGCGAGAAGAGATAAACGACACAATTACATTTTTCTGATTTCGGAGCGGCATCGTCGACAAATTTTCTTCGCTGCCAAAAGAAAAGATACATTTTTCGCCTTGGCAGCTGCACACTGCACACGATACGAAGAATCGTGGCCAAAAAGAAAAAGAAAACTTGGAAAAATTCGAACGATAAACGATTTACTTGAAAAACGAGCAAAAGTAAATGTAGTGTGAGAGAGTGTTGTCAGGCATTATAATGGAAATGTGGATCATTTCGTCCAATTTTTTTTCTCTTCTTCTCGTCTTCTTTTATTTTTTTCGGTTTGGCGTTTCTTGATGTTATTTATTTTTCTTGCATACGGTCGAATTGAAATTATATGCCTTATGTATATTACATGACTTCATGTGCTCTTAGATCAATGCCGAACACGAGTTTTTTCTTCTTCTCTTTATTCGCTTGGCTTATGGATAGAAAGCGAAAAAGGGTTTTTTCTTCTAACCATCATGTACCAATGTTGTCGACTCTATTTTCCATTCCATACATCATTTCTCAGTTTGATATTGCTTTCTTCGCTTCGTGTGTACGATATACTTTTTTTTTATATATGTATATATTTGTTGTGCTTCGTTGCTGTGTCGGGCAAAACTTTATCTATTTATATTCATCTGGAGTAAAGTTATTCTATGGTTATGTACACAATTCATAGGAAAAGACCATTAAAAATGGTAGCAAGAACAGAGTCGAACAAAAGCAATTTTTTTTCTACTTCTTCGGTCGTGTTCCATCTCAAATGAAATACACAATAGAAATTGTTTGGATGCACAACAACGGCGTTGGAATCACCAAATAGCCGAAACGAAGAAGCGAAGAGAGGAGCGGCGAACTGAATAGCAGAGAAAAAAAATCAGAGCAAAACATCATAGTCGACATATTTATGACGCTTCATTTTCTTTTCAATTCGATGTGTCACACATTCACTGTGTGTATATATACTGTTTGTTTGCTTTACAATTAAACATTGTTCTCCACACTAAAAAAAAAATTATCAACAAAGAGAAAAAGAGAACGAACAGAAAAAAATGGTAGTTCAAAACAAACGTTGTCACATATTTATTGAAAGAAAGGTTTGTTTGGGCCCATTTCAAATCTCTTTTCCACACACAAACTCTCTCAGTCACTCGCTCGCTTTTGTTATGCTCATTTCTCTGGAAATGGTTGTTGCACAGAAGATATCGCATAAAAAAAATTAAGATTTCTATATATCTTGATTCGTTCTCATAAAAATTGACATCGAAATTCTACCCTTCTCTTGTTGGATGCGATGCACGTTAGCTCGGGGCCCGGCTTTCAAACCAGTTTCAGGCTCATTTCCATAATTGTTGTTTGAGCAGCAACCAAGAAAATCGCACATGATTAAAGCAAGTTAATGACTTCTAATTGCAGATAATAAAATGCTTCAATTTCGATGGGGCTGCTGCTTACGGCTAAAATTGCCGTGCTGCCGTTGCCTCTGCTGCTTGTGTGATTCTTCGCCATTTTTCATGCCATTGCAATCAATTGCTGTTGCCCGTTTGTTAGTTACGTAAAACTCTTGTATATTGTTGGTATTCTCTGCCAACGCACAGTTAATGGACTGTGATGAGAAGACACGCGACGTGTCTGCCTCGCACTGTTGTATGTTTTTAAAACAGAGAAAGAAAATGAAAACAAAACGCATTTCCAATTAAAATGATTTTTTTTTTCATCCTAAACTACCCAACAACTTTTCGTTAGGCGTTCTTTTTCCATTCGTTGTTGTTTGTAATTGTTGTTGATGTGCTTGCTGGTGTTGCTGGCTGGCTGACTGTTGTTGGTGGTAATAAGGCAAAGATTACATTTTCAAGCCAAAACGTGCATACCATCTCTCTTTTTGGTGCGGCATCAACGCACTTGAAAAAGACTCTTTGTTGATTTTTCGTTTGATTTGTATTTTTTAGTAGTGTGGTCGTGCATCTCGCGCGCGTGTTCATTCTCTGTCTACTTTTCTATTTCTAATAATAAAGCGAGCGCTTAGAGTGTGTGTCTCTTATTTCTCTTGAAAAGCTTGCCTTTTCGGAATGTGACAACGAGTTAGAGAGTTTCATTTGCATACTTCGTATGCTCGTCAACGACGACGACAAAAAATTGTAGGTTTTTTTTGTCTCTTCATCTGTACACAGGCCCGTTGCTTGCGTTTTAAATTTAATTTTCGTCAGGTTTTCTCGGCTTCATTTTCGGCGCAGATCGTTATTGTTTATTGTGGCGTCTCATAGACAACAAATCATTAATATAACGCGGCCCATTTGTTTGGCTGCATTGGAACACTCTGTTCAGTTTTTCAATTTTCGATTCGTGTGTCACAGTGAGAGAGTTCATGGTGAAAATTTTCGGTTTGATTTTTTTTTGTCGACGACAATTCAATCATAATTTTTTTTTTGTCACTCTTCACAAACACAAATGCACGCGCCGGTTGAAAACGTGTTGATTGCATGAAAGGTTTAAGTGGCGCTTTCAACGAGATTCAACTTGCAAAGTCATAAAAAAAAATTATTGAAACGGTTGACTTCGTCAGTTGCAATAGTCAATAGAAACAGATTGGTTGAATGACTGTCATCGAGATTCAGTCGAGTTCATATATAGTTTCGAGTGCAATTTTTATTGGTGTATATATATTGTTGGATAAACAGAGTTTTTCATTAATAAATTCCAAATGTTTAACGGATTTTCATCGGAAACTAACGCCTTAAACGTAAGTGAAATCATAAATCGTTCAACAAAATAAAAAGCGAAAATGTGCCGCAAACAAAATTGATTTATTACAATTTCAAACCACAAAATTTCAATTCAATCTCTTACAAAACGAAACGGATACAAACCAAATTGAATACAAAAAAAGAGAGTCGTGTTATTTTGGGTCAATATTTTCAGTGTCCTGCCGAGTTCTTCTTTGTCTGTTCAATCTCTATGTGGAACTCTTTGGACGTGTTTGTTTGTGCGCAACTCAAACGGAGACATTTTTTTTTTTAATTTTTCAACCAAGAAATGGTAAAAAAAGACGAGAAAAAAATGTCTCAAAAGTTTTCATGTTCACGGCGCATTATTTAGTCTACGAATGGTTAAAGACATGCAGCAGTGGCAGTCAAAAATTAAAATGTCACACGAATGCATACACAATTTTATACGATGTATACGTGACTGGAATGTTTCGACCGGGGACGACTACTGCATTTAGACATTCATGTGACGAATATTGTATCCAATAGAATTCAATTGGAGAAAATATCGTCTTAAGACATTTAGAAAACGAATAATATTCGTGGAATTAAAATGCCTGGATTACTTTCGTCCCAATAGTACCGAAGAGTGTTTTTACATTTCAAAAAAATACACGTTCGAGATGAAAATCAAAACCAAAAACAAGATGCCATTGCAAGATGTTTAATCTTCATATGCATATCGTTTGCCACACATATTTTCTCATCCTCCGGCAATTAAGCCGGATTTTTTGTTGTCTCTCATTTCAAATGAACATCATTTCAAAGAAACATCCGAGCAATCTGGGTTATTTTTGGTAAGAATTTCAAGAGCAGCTCATCCCTTTTCTGCTCTCAAGTTGACAGTTTCATGCAATGTTTCATCCGAAGTAGAAAAAATGCTTTTTTTTTTTGGAGTAAATGCATGTTTCGCCATGTGTTCTGTGTACGCCATATAGAGGAAACGAAAATAGAAAGTTGAAACATTTATCGTGTTAACGAAACGCCGAAGATCCTTTCGACACGAATCATATTTAAATGCCATCCCAACAAAATCCAAACAAACATGGAGTCTGAAATATGATTCTGTTAATATGTTCTTCATTTTTTTCTTTTCAAATCCCAAATCTCCGTTTATGTTCTTTCTTTCGTATTTTGTTTCTTTCCCCATAACATGTCGTGCCATTTGGTTGAACATCGTTCATTTCATTAGAATGTCAATTCAGTGTGGTCAAAACGTTATCTTTATCACCTTGTCTGTGTCTCTCTTCAAAACTATCATCTTATGCGTTAGATAATAAATTATACAATTTTTTTTTATTGTGAAAATCATTAAGAGATAATGAAACGATTCTGAATTACATTTTTCATTAAGTGCTACCTGTTTTATTTCGATCATAAAAAAAAGTTTGAGTTCATCTCTCGGTGGTAAAAACGCCATGTATATGAGTCACACATATGCGCGCGAGCGTGTTTTGAGTGTCATACTGAACGCAATTAAATTTCTTTTTGCTAATTGAACTGTAATTATATACCCATTTATGCATTGACAAACACGAGAAGAAGAGGAAAAAAAAAAACGCGAAACAAGTGACAATTTTTCAAAATAAATAAGAAACAAATACGATTTGAAATACTCCACCAAATCACTACCACAGTGAGTGAAAGAGTGCGAAAGAGATAAACCAAATGTCTCTTAAACGCCATTCAAGTAAGATTGTTTATTTTGCCGGGTATTTAAGTAAGAATTTAGTACTCATTTTTATGTTCATATTTGATTGCTCATTACAATGCATTAACATTAATTTTTATTGGCAATTTTATTATATTTTAATGTACATTACAACAAAATGTGTGAGCAACTCTTTGCTTTGTTTTTGGTTGGACTTTTTTTTTTGTTTTCGTGCGTTTTCAATTGAGATTGAAATGCATTTTCAATGAGTTTTTCTTTTCGGAGCACAAGAGAATGTATGACGTCGAATCTAAAAAATAATTCGATTTTAATTTTAATATGTTGCGTCTAACATGACGACAGCATTTCTATCATAAGACCACATGACTTTGATTTTTATTTTATAATTTGTACATTTATTTTTCTCTTAATTTCATGTTTTGTTTTTCGTTTTTCGTTTTAGAAAGTGCTAACGACGGTTGCTTCAGCCCTGCTTATAAGTTCCCAAGTTCAGTAATTATTCCAAAAGTAAGTAAATGTTTTTTATTCTCTGTTTCTGAACACACTATGTCATTTCATACACCGTAAGAAATGAAGAAAACGGGTAAATTTTCCAGCAAGCTCTCTTATTCATTCTTTTCAAATCGAATTTTTTCACAAGACAAATTTGTCATTCTCATTGAAAATCAAATTGAATCGTTCTCTCCAATCAATCATGCACAAAATCCAACCCATTGCATCCTTTTTCCGAAACTAATATTCCATCGTTGATTTATGCGTATTTTGTACATATATAAAAAAAGAAACATTTGCTCATGAAATTTGTAAATAAAATGAATGTCGTGTTTCCGATCCGTGAAGAGATTCGTTCGAAGCCCTTTCTTATTCTAAAGCGTGCTCATTTTTTGTTCCTTTTAAAAAATGCGATTCACATAATATACATTATTCACAGTACATTTGATTGTGTTCCGCTGCATTTCTATGTGCGAGGATTACAAAACAAAACCAAAGAATGTTTTTCAATTTTTTTTTTATTCGACGGCAAATGGGAGTACGACAAAATGATTCGCATATTTCAAGTTGTTTTATATCTGCGAAATTTTTTCGATGTTTGTTTGGCTCATCTGTTTCGCGACTTATATGTGGACTTTTTTTCCACCCTAGGCCTTTTGAGGATAACATTACATTAGCACACAAATTGTATTGTGCTTTTTTCTCTTCTCATCATAGTTTCGCACACTCGTGTTTTTTGTCTCCTCACTCTTCGGTTTCTATGTTTCTCCCTTCTTAACGCGCTTCGTTGATGTAGCCGTCGTCGTCGTTGTCGATTGCACTTAGCGTATACAATTTTCCATTGTCATAAAATATTACAAAAGCATGAATGTGTGTCAAGAATAAATAATTTACAAAAAAAAAAAAAAAAACCATAAAAAAAACTCCATTACCGGCTACTGAACAAAAATTTACATTTTATTTTCTAGTTTCAATGATGAAAACAGTCCGATACATTCAACGAATATATGTATATATTCTCTGGAATAAATTGTTATTTTATGATTTTTCGCCGCCATTTTTTTTCGCTTCTCTCCTTCGTTTGTTTGATTTCGGTCGTGCAATGTCGATATGTCCGGGAGCAATTGCAACGATTGAGATTCTGAGTGCGCACAACGATAAGAACAAAAACAAACATACAACACAATTTTTGCCAATCAAAAATTATTATTAGTTTTGAACATACATACGATCATTGCCGTCATTGTTTGATTTCCAAAGTGTTTTTGTCGAAAAATGGTTGGGATTGTGCGTGCTCAAAAGTCCAACTAATTGGATTAAATGGTGGATAAAAAAAAATTGAACAAAGTGCCATGAAAGTGAGTATTTGCCATGAACAAAATCGCAAACTCAAACACAATCGACATGATTAAAGCATGGTCGATGTGAGTGTGTACGCCTGTTTTTCCAAAACGAAATAGATTGATAGAGCAATTCTGCAAATCGATTTCGTAATATTTGCTGTCTGATTGGACTTTATGTTTTTTTATGGGCACATTGGTCAACACTTCTGTTGAATTAAGCTAATTGAAGCGAACTGCAACGAATTGAACAAAATGAAATGATGATCGATGAAACAAACACTTGATTTTCTGAGAAACAATCATCAATCATGATAAAAAAAAAACATTGAACGTTGGCGTTCAATTCAACATTCGACGATTATACTAAATAGCACGATTCACATATATTCTCTTAAATTGAACATACTCTCTACTTATACAGAAACGTTTCGAAAATAAGAGGCTTTTTGTTTCTAGCGCATAAAATATTCTCCTTTATTAAAGATAATTCAAATAATTTCTATACATTTATCTTGATTTCAGCTCTACAGAGGATACGGAAATTTTAGCGGATCGTCGTACGGTAAGTATATGCATTCATTTTGGTTTCATTTAGAATATATTCCCGCTCTTTGAAAAAAAAAAAAACATTTTTCGTCTTCAACAAATAAAAAAAACCACAGTTAAAATTTAAAACAAAAAATATAATAATATTCAAGCATAAACCCAATGTAAGAACTAATTAACTTTTAATTCGCCTGCATACACTTTTTCGAGAGAAAAAAAATGACTCAAAGTTTCATTATAAAAAGAAATATCGCTCGTTCTCTCTCGCTCTCTCTCGAAATGAATTTCGTTTTTCCATTTTTCTTCGTCATCGTTTTCGTGTCGTGTGTTTTTCTTAATGGCGGGAATTCTCTCGCTGGGAAATTTAATGCGATAGCTACGTTTCGCGTAGCACATTTCTTTTATTATTATTTCCCTTGGCTGCTCTTGCAAATCATGTTGTGCCAATGGAAAATAATAATAACACGAACAAACGAAGAATTGGCTCGTTGACGATTCATGAAACAAACACTCTGTCGAAGTGAAAAAAAAAACTGCACAATATCTTGTGATTTTTTTTCACTCGTTTACGTCTACCATTGCATTTGTGGCTTGGTATGGCGTCAACACCCTCTTTTTTCCAATTTACCATCGACACATACACGATCCAAAAAATAACGAATTCTCAAAAGACGCTCGGCACACTCACAGAGAAAAAAAATGAATTTCAGGAAACGAATGCGTGGTGGCTTACACACGAAATTTAAAAAAAATGTGATCAGCTTGGGAATAGAAAAGCAATTTTCAGCAGAATAAAAAACGACGAAGGAAATGAAATTACTGTCGATGTAAGAAAAAAGCAAGAGATTATGGTACAATAAATAAGTGGAGATGAAGCGTCACATGTGCTGCACTAGATACGAACAATTGTTTTCTTTTTCGGGGGGATTCTATCCAAAATTTTGTCTATAAGGCAGTTTCTCTTTTCTCAAACCCAATATGAACTGGTTTTTTTTTCGAGTCACTTCGTGCCATTCTACTCTCGAAAATATTCATTGATATAAACTAAGAATAGCTCAAAGCCAATCATTTTTAAAAGAAAAAAAAATATTGGGATGTTTCGTGACTTCTTTCCAATTTCACCAATCAATCACTGCACATAGAAAAACAACGTTTTTGTATTAAAATGACACGCCATGAATTTGATTTATTAGCTTTTATAGCATTTAAAAGACAATTAAAAGTGAAAACGCGTGTCCTGATGTAACAATTTCTTTCCTTCGGCATCCAGAGGGATAGAGCGACAGATGAATGAAAAGAGGCTTGTTTTTCACGGTCAATAAGCGCTTTGCATTGAAAGACTTACGAATTAATCGCATCGAATAATAGTTTGTGAGTGAACACCAAAAAAGGCCAACAAGTTGAGAAATATGTTTTTTTTTTCACGTCGAAAAACGTTTGCTGGAATTTTATGGCATTTGTAGTTTGTTCCTATTCATTGAAGTTCGCATTTCGTGTGCTATATTGCCAGCAATATTCAGAAAAACGAGAGCAACAACAGCAGCAGCCGCAGTTGTAGTAACTCCCGGAGAAACGAAAGAAAGAGAGAAAAAAAATCGGTTAAGCATGTTGTCAATCGAATTTTTATGGGCAATGAAAGGAAAAATTAGTGTTTTTACTACGTTTATGATTGCAAAGTATTTCTACGTGCGCGCATTTCTCTCTTGCCTTCTCCCTCTCTTTTTCTCTTTCGCTCACAAACACCCAATCCCGTCGCACAATTTTTTTTTTCGTTTGCTTCTTTTTGCTCTCTCTTGCCATTTTTAATGGCTAGTGCACGATTTATTGTTTCAATCTGTTTTGAGTGAGTGTTTTTCCTTTTTATTACATTCAATACCGCAATTGAAATGTTGAAAATGGGCAAAGGTCCGTTTTATTTTATGGATCTTTGATACACTCTCTCTCTCGCATTCTCTCTTAATCGCAATTGTAACGCGTGTATGTATGTGATTCTCTTTCATATTTCGGGGCGTACGGCAAATATGGCTACTGTATACATAATATTTTGACTGCATTTCAATAAGGGCTCAAAACTATTTGGACTGTATACATTATTTGGAAAGATAAAGTGTGAAAATGCGAAAAATGCCATTTGAAAATGTTTCCTTTTGTCAACAAAAATCAAGACGAATGCGAGACGACGGTGTGCGTTTCCATTAATAATAATAATGCTATCGGCCATACTATTTATCGGTTTATGTTTGATTGTATCGCACAGTCAAATGCGTGAGCATTTTAGGAAAATTATGATGAAAGTGTTCTTATCACACGCATTCATCAATTTTCTGGGCGTTTCGTACCGCTTCAATCTGGAAATGTTCAGAACATTTGCGTATTTCGTATTTTCAACCGTCATAAATTTAATGGAAATTTCTTAATTATAACTCATGACACAGACCCTCTTTCAAAAGAACAGACACAGTCAAATATACACGTAACAAAAAACCGAAGAGAAACCGACCAGTTCTAGCGTGTATAATTCGATGGAAACTGATGGACAAAAAAGTAAATGGTTACCGCATTCATCTGTTTTTATTCTCTCTTTCTGAGAGACTTGTCTTAATTTATTCTTTTTTTTGTTCTTTTTTTGTCGATATGTATCGATGAGCCATTTTGATCGCACAGACTAGATTAATGGTGTATACGCCGATTTGTTGTTTTTGTTGTTGTTACCGCTCATCATTCGAACAAAACGTATAATTTGAAACACTATTTTCCATTTCAATCGGCTTTTTCAAAGCTTTTTTATCCAGCGTTGAAGTTTTTTTTCCTTTTCATCGTCTTTGCTGTGGTCGTGATCATTTGTTCTCTGTGGCAGGTATATAAGAAAAAAAACGAAAAAAATTCTTGTTTTTTTTTTTCACAAAACATCAAAATGACTGTCTTAATTATTTAAAAAGCAACTAGAAGCCAAAGATAACGAAACCAAGACAAAATTTATTGTCATGAAGAGCAGACATGTTATTTTGCTCTTCTTCGCTTTTTTCTCTGTTCGGTTACATTGTGACAAGAATCCTTCATTCGTTCCCAAGCGAAACGAAACGAAGAAACAAAAAGAAGAAATAATGTGAAAATGCACATTATCGAGCAGATAATATGTTCGATGCAACGATGTTTCAAAATGAAAGAGAAAAAATAAATACATTAATTTGATAAAATTTATGGACAAACGTGTAGAATAGTTAACCCAAGCCTGTCCAGAGAGAGAAAGAGAGGCTCAATCCATGTACGCATACGCTTGTTTAATGCAAACACAAGCGACGGAGCATATTTCGTTCGAAATACCAAAAATGGTAGTAATAATCGACTGAGATGGATGGATACAAGAAGGCCGAAAAAAGGGAATATATCTGGTTGTCATTTGTTTCATTTTGTTTTTAATCGAGTCATTAATTCTTTCACTTCATTTGATATCTATTTCATCTGAGAGGTTTTTGTTACCCCGGTGCCCATCCATCTCGTTTCATTCTCTCTCTATCTTTCTCTGCCTGTGTCTCACTCGCTCGTTTCACCAATGGCATTCAAGCATTTTAATCGAAAAACTTTTCCCATCTTTAAGGTATGTGTGTGCATTTATCTTTGACGAAAATTCTTCTGCTCACTCTCTGTGTATGTATAATAGCAATGACAATGTCGAATGATGATGATTGTTAACTTATTTTCTTGATGTCACAAAATTTTGCGCATCACTGAACCAGCTTTCAATTTTATTCAAATGTTTTCACTTCGATTTTCTCTGCATTCTTTTTTCGTTCGGTTTCTTGTTTGTTCGCTCAAATCTTGAATCTGGTTCGATCTGGGCCGCTTGTGTCAACCGTGGTGGAAATAGACATGTTTCACATCAATCGTGCTTTATGCATTGTTGTTTTTTTGCTGGTGCCTCTCTCTCGTGTACCTTTTCAAATCATTTTATTGCCTTGTAATAATAGGCAATAAAAACTCTGAACCAAGACTGCCTTGTCGAACGAACCTGAACATCGTCGTTGTTGTTTTTTTCAACTCTCAATCCCTTTTATATGTCACTTTCCCTTATATTCGCTCGATCTCTCTCTATTTCTATTCTTATTATTTTTAGAGATTGTTAAACTGTTCTTCTTCGGGTGTAAGTGCATGTATTTTGCGATTAATCTCTGCTTGAAAATTTATAACGTTGAACCAGAAAACAAGCGCAACAAGATAGCGTAAGAGACAACAACAACGAAAAAAGAAATCGAAAAACCAACAATAGTCTATGATAGAACTCTCATGTATACACATAGCCATTTTCACGGTGAAAATGGCAACTCCGCGGGGAAAATAAAATAACATAGAAAAAGAAACGAAAATGAACAATGGAATGTCTGATGCTGAGCATCAACAATAGCAATCGATAATAAGTGAAATGTGACACAGGAGACATACCACAGTAGCTTGTGATACCAAACAAACATAGATATAAGACGAAGCAATAAAAAGAGCGAAAACAATGAGAAAAGAGAGAAAAAAAGCGATAAAAAACTGCTGAAAAAAATAATAAATTATTTTGTTGTCACACACACACACAGGCATGATCACACAACCATTTGAAATTGACCTTTCGATTCATAGTATTTCGATCGCTTTGATTGCACTTCGGCGTGCAAAAGAAATGAAAAATGTTGAAAACCCTTATTTCCGCGAAAACTGAATTCTAAGCATTTTGATTGTATCATTACGCGGTATGGGTTTGTTACATTGGATTTTAGTTAAAAAACTCGACACGAGATGGACTGGTCTTTAGCGATGCGAGACTGTGAAAAACTTTGATGCATGAAATAAACAACAAAAAAATTCCGTGGATGTGAATAATATACGATACGGAGAAGAGAGGTAGGAAGGAGAAATCACAATAAAAAGCACACACAGCATTCGTAGAACACTGTACAAATGCACAAATACACACGCATTAATCAGATCTTAGTTTTTTTTTATTTCTATGCTCTTACACACGCACACACATACTTTCACTCAAATACGAATCGACGATAATGCGCAATCGCTGTGGTACTAGCCATACGATTCGAGTGTATCAAACAGCCATACAGCTGTGACGATGTCAATGTGTATGTGTGCGTATGTGTGTATATTTGAATGCAACTCTGTGTACACGTAATAAGTACGATTCGAATTTCTTTCGATTGTATTTCAAACATTTGTTCCTATTCTCCGCTTCTAGAGCATGTCTTCCTATTCGATTATTATCGCATGGTTATGTTGTTGTGTGTGCATTTTGAAAATGTGTAGCAACGTATGTAACGGCCAACGCAAAAACGTTCGACAGAGAGGAGAGAAATGAACCGATGAAAAATAACAAACGCCGTTTTCACCGAATGGTAAACATGTGAATGAAAAAAGATAACAACTCAATAAAAAGCGCTTTTTCTGCTTAGAGAGAGAAATACACACGCGCGCACACAAACACACAATCATACACCAAACATGAGAACTGTCTTTCTCTCACTCTCTGTGCGTGTACATCGCAGTGTATAGTTTATTATATTTTTTTTTTTTGTTCGGTTTGATTCTGTTCCATTCTGTATTCTCGTGATTCGAGTGTGTCGTACGAAGACAGCGAGCAAAAGACTTTGAGCGCACATGCACGCAGAACTCTTCGATTTCGTAGTAGTAACAGCAGCAGCAGCAGCAGCAGCAGAATATACTACGAGTGAGGCAAACACACAAAATAGCGCTATGCGCTTTAATCGCTGGTTTCGCTAGTCCAAGAAAAATCAGTGTAGTATAATACTTCGCGAGATTCAGACGTTTCAAAAAGCATTTCCCTCGGCTGTTTCTCGTCGTTTACTTTGCACATCGCGCACTTACGTATTTTTTTCCTCGGTCGAACCGTTCTACAAGTTCGTGGAAATTCAAAAGAAAATATTTTTTTCGATAACAACTTTATTTTTTCGCTGTTTTTATTTAAAATTATATCTGAATTGGTGCAATTTATTTTTTTACTTTTTTTGTGAATGTTCAATTTGAAGTCATCGCCAAGTGAATCAAATGAAATCATTTTTTTTTTTGTTTTACTTTAAATCTCTGTTTTCGTTTTTAACTTTGTAAAAAAATTCAAAGTTGATTTTTTGTTTGTTAATTTGATGAAACCGTTTGTTGATTTGAATTTTGTAAAAATACATGTGTCTTCGACAAAAAGCACCGAGAATTGCGATTAAAATTTCAACGATTTTCAAGTGTTGAATTTTTCAACGAAGTATTTCCAATATGATATTACGAAGGAAGGAAAAGTGACTTAGTAGCTCGAGGAAAATCGAGTGAGATTTTTTCGTGTTCGCTCATCACATCATTGCAACATTTCAACATTACAACACTTTTCAACAACGACTATCAACTAAAGCCATTCAACGTTTAAACCATATTTTGTTATCAATTTAATTTTTTCGCTATTTCTGTGGGAAAAGAATTTATGTGTGAAACAGAAAGTTAAACGGACAAATATGAACATAGTAATTTTTTTCAATTGATTTTGTGACAATATAACAACCAGGAAGTTTTCTGGCAAACAATAGTCAATTCATGCATAAATTACGAAGAAATTTTTTTTTGTTGTGAATTTTAAATTTACAAGAACAAAAAAAAATTCCAACGAACACTTGAACATTGTACATATTGAAGTAAAAAGAAAAAATATATAATTTCCAATTGAATTGCCGTCATTGTGATTTCTTGAACTGTTTTGCTGGATAATCCGCTTGTACATTAAATACCGTGCATTATTTTATCGGGAACAAAAACATTGTGCTATACACTTGTTGTGCTTTGATTTTTTGCCTGATTAATTATATGAACTTGTTTTCAACCGAGAGCTAGATTTTTGTTTCTGTTCTTCGCGTTCGTTTCGTCAAGTATATCCTGCAATTTGATTCACATTGAACGGAACCAATAAAAACATAAATCAAAACACAATAACCAAGTCACATTTCCAATTTGAAGTTTGAATTAAAAGGAAAAAAATAATAATAATACGAAATACATTGCAGTCCCATATCAAAGCGGATTAAATAGAGAGAATTCTACGTGAAATGATACACATATACCGTAAACTGTGAACTAAAGTCAAAATAAGCCAACATTCGATTTAATACGTACGCACGCATACATATACGGCGCCTTCGTATCGACAACGACAGAAATTCCTTACACTCTATATATACACGAGACAACGCGCACACAACGTTGAACCCAAGAACAAACAGAAAGACATACAGAAGAAGAGTGAATATTTGTACCCGTACCACAGTACACACATCAGCGCGCACAGTGTGTTCGGTATCTATGTGTGGAAACCGATCCATGTCGAAATGAATGTTGCGGTGCGACAATAAAAAAAAATTTCAACCTAAAATAACACGACAACATTATTTTATCGTGTGCAGATGAACGTGTGCGCTTTTGTATTCGAATGTCTCTACGCGCGCCACACTCACTCTCTTTTTGACTCCGTATAACAATCGTTATAATAAAAAGCCCATTAAAATCTAAATTGATCTAGTGCTCAAAATAATGAACAATTTGTTGTCATTCTAATGAATGGTGGTGTTATTTGTTTGTTGTTTTTTTTTTCACTCTCTCTTCATATGCGTGATTCCATATGTGGAACATAGTATAGACGATACGATTTTAAAGAAATTACACGGCAATTGACACTTTTTTGCATTTCATTCACACACAACGAGCTAATGATTAAATTAGTAACTTGTGAATTTCTTAAATAATAACCGAAGAGTGTGTTAACTTTTTTTAAAACCATAATTAATTGACATAATAAATTTAAATTGATTTAAATGTTTTTCAAAAAACCAAAGTTAAAAATTATAATAACATAAATCTTTTTAATAAAAACACGGTTTTAATTTAAATAAAAAATAATAATAAATTAAGTAAAGAGATTTGTAAAAAAAAATTGTGAGAACAATTTGTTTCTAACTAAAAATAAAAACACAAGACACACACACTTTTAAACGCCGTGTGCCAAACAAATAAACATCACGATATCACCTCATCCGTATTCCACCATTTCGCTGGCGTGCGCGATTTACGACCCACACAATGTCTCGGCAGCGTCTTCGCACGTTTCTGCCGAGACTTGGTGGGAAAATCACAATTTACATTCACATTCCGTTGGTGGTGCTACCACAGGTGATTTTCTATTTTTTTCTTCTATTTCACAGAATATTTTTTTAAACAACTTTTCAATTTCTGAAAATCTCAAAAAAAATTGAAAAAAATTCGAACAATTCTTAGATATTTAGTAGCAGCATTAAAAACTAATGAATTATTTAAACCATATTTTAATCAAGAGCTTTAAAAATAATAAAAAAGAAGACGAAAAATACTTTAAGTAGAAGTTTGGGAATTTTATGAAATAGAAGCGATTCGATGTGAAAAAAAATCATTAGATTGATTGAATGTGTAATTCAAAACTGAAAAATGCGTTCAATCGATTTTTGTTGAATTTTTTTCGTATTGTGAATATTCAGTGAAAAAAATTGTGTATTTTGTTGCTGATTTGCACACTTTTTTTCAATGTTCATTATAGTGTATGACGATATCCATACAGGATCTGGAACACCACTACGATCACATAGTCCGCCTTTGTTACATCATCATCAACAAATCAATCAGCTCGTTTCACAGCAGCAGCAACAACAACAGCAACAGCAACAACAGCAATTACCTGAATCACAATCACAGTTGCATTCACAATCGCAACAATCAACACCCCCTCACCAAACAGCAAATAATTCATCTTTATCGCAATCCCAATCCAACACAGTGGCATCCAGTCAAACACAAATCGTGGCGTCGTCGACGGCGAGCGAATCACCTGCTAGTGTTAGCTCGCAACCGACAGGTAAACTTTTGCACTCTATTGCATTATTAATTCGTGTGTGTGTAAGTGTTTGTATTTCTGACTCTCTCGTCTTCACGTCGTCTTCCATTGTCGTGCTTTGAACATTTTCGCCTTGATTGTTTTGAAGCCAAATTAAAATTCACTTGAAAACATATAACAAAACAAAAAACATCAATAGCTGTAGCACCTTTCATTCAGCACACGTTAAAACTTAATTACACTAATTGCTTTTACTTGCCATAAATGACTTTGCACACTTGCATTTCACTTGAATTCACCTCACCTGCTCTGAATTTATGCAATGCTCGATGCCAATTTTCGAACAACAATCGTTCGATACACGTTAAGCTACTTCAACAACAAATATACAATTAAATTCAGCCAATTTTCTTCATAAAGCTTTTATTAACGCATCAAACAAACAAACCAATTGTAAACGAACGAATTTTGAAAGAAAGAATGAGAAAAAAAAAACATATAAACAGTTAAGCTTTGAAGTGCTTGCCTTTTGAGTTATAGTTCGTTTCTTTTTGATTGAATCAACAGGCCCACTGCACATACCAGCAAAACGTCCAGGATTCGATGCTGACCCATCAGTTATTCGACATCCTCATCCATGGAGTTCTTATGAATCAGCTGCTGGATATGATACTCAATACCATTCACAGTACATTTTAGACCGAGATCGCAAACCACTTTACTATGGTTATCCAGATCCGCAATTTTCACAGGTAAATCTTTTATTTTTAATGTTCGAGGCAAATTAATTTATTAAATTTATAACTCTTTTGTATTAAATATGCTCGAAAATATAAATTTTTGAGCCAAAAAGTAGTAGAATAAAAAACCTTTAAAAATATTTGGCAAAATAATTATTCGGAATAATTTCCGTGAAAATTTGCGGAAACAGCTTTTTTTCATTAAAAAAAAAAAAACAATTTTATTGTTTTCATTTAAAAAAAATGTCGTTTTTCTATTCTTTTTACATCCAAAAGCCATATTGGAACTATCGCGACCAGTCATCGTATTTAACGACTGATGAGCGACACTCAGCTCGTCAATCGGTTGAAGGTGGTACTCAAGGATCGTTCGATTCTCCAAGCTACGCAGCGTCATCGTTACGTTCATACGACTCGTACTCAACCAGTGGTAAGTAGTTTTCAGAAAATAATCACATTTTCCTTCGTTAAAAACCGCAACGAATATATGTCGAGTATTTTTTTTTTCTTCTGTTGATAACATAATAGCTCAAGTGTTCAGTTTAAATAGCACACTTCTAGGTCAATACAGTCAAATATATCACTTTACTTACGAGCTTACGTCTCATTGAGAGATATGTTTTATGTTTATGTACTTTTGAAAAGTAATCTAATCATTCTGTGTGAGCATTGTCCATTTAAAAAAAATTAAGTTAAAAGTCGCTATCAAAAAATTGATTTTTTTCCCATCATCATCATCATATCATTACAATTTTCGATAATCTTTCCCATGAAAATAAATGGTCATTTGTGCATATACTTGACTATTGTGTGACGGTGTGTGACGAGCGAATGGGCGCGCGTTCATCGTTCAAATTCGGCATAACGGGGAAGATGTGCTCGTTAGTTCAACGATCCTTGTATTAGAGAGCACATATAAAGCATATTTTATTGCATCGTGTGTAAACGATGACCGGGACTGTGTATGTTTTGAGGTGTTGTGAGAAATGTAAACAAATATACACGGTAAAAATTTTATGGCCGTATTATTGCTCAATGAAACACTCGTTAAATTTCCATTGCTCTCAGATGGCAACGAAAGAGAGGAATAGCTTCTTTTTGATTTTTCGTTTTCGAAATTGGCTAGTGTGCGCTCTTCGCTTTTTTTCGCTCTCTCTTTCTCTCTCTTTCTCTCTATCTCTCACTTTTTCAGTTTTTATTATCATCGCGAATCGCAGACAATACATTTTGTCTACACATTTCAATATCAACATTTCTTTTCGGAATCGACCCAGACACAACACACTCGCACTCAGAGAATAATACGTCATGTCTTGCACAAAACATAAAAAAAAAGAATTTAAATACTACCGAATTTAAGCTGTGTTCGAATAGTGAAGATTTTTCCAGTGGTTATATGGTTAACGTGCCGATTTTATGGCATTGTTTTCATTTTCAAATGAGTTTATGACCTTTTTGTTGTTATGGTCTCGTCGCTTTAACTTTAACTAGACACATGCACACACACAAGTAACCTCAACACACACACGCTCACATCTAGAATGACTAAGTGCGAAAGATATGTCTACAGCGCTCTTTTTTTATAGTAAACAAACTATGAAGAGTGAAAAAAAAACACAACGAGAATTGAGCAATAAAAATCAGCTGACTTTTTGAATTCGTGATGTATGACACAAATTTTTCTATATCGTTGTGGATTCTCACTGAAATAATTGTTTACATAATCTGTTTTTGTTTCTCCTTCTGAGTTCAAAGTCACTTAAATTAATGTTACTGCAATATATTGTTTTTACGCTCTCTCACTCTCGTTTTTCTTCTTTCTTTTCCATTGTTTTTTTTTTTTTTTTGTTGTTCGCTTGGTTTCGACGGTGTGACACAGGTCTGCCGTCAGCAGTTGGTGGCGTTGGTTCAGTTGGTTCGTGTACACCTTCCAATGCACTTGAATGGACTGGACAAGTGACTGTTCGCAAGAAGCGTAAGCCATATTCCAAATTCCAAACGCTCGAATTGGAAAAGGAATTCCTTTTCAATGCATACGTTTCGAAGCAGAAGCGTTGGGAACTCGCCAGAAATTTGAATTTAACCGAAAGACAGGTAAGCAAAATCATATTTTTTTTTAATTCTTCGCATCCTTCGAATCTGTGATCATAAATCTAAAAAAGTTAATTCTTAACGGAACCAAGAGTGGTTCTCCAAACTTACATAAAAAAAGATCGCCGTTTAAAAAAAAAAAACCATTTTGAAAATTCATTATTCGTTAGGTTAAAATTTGGTTCCAAAATCGTCGCATGAAGAATAAAAAGAATTCGCAACGTCAGCAGGCGCAACAGAATAACAATAATAATAACAGTAGCCATAGTCATGGGCCGCCACAGCAATCGCATCACAATCCACATCATTTAAATCTTGGCATCGGTATGCATCATGGCCCAAAGATGCATCCGTGACCTTCAGACAATAGTATTGGCACAGCAGCGGTTATGGGGTATCCAAACTTTTGAAACTGAACGGCCACTGAAGTAGAAATAAATGAAAGAAAAAAAGAAGAAAACAATGAAGAAAAAAAAGAACCACATTTAACGCGCGCGACACACGGATATTATTTTAGATTGAAATTTGCATGATAGAGATAAAGTCTAATTTGATTAGTGCAACACAGCAGTAAGTCCCCCATAGCCAATTTTAAACAAAATAAAAAGGAACGATCTCGTGCTGATACTATATGCAATTTCAAAAAGAACACCAGAATCACACACACTTCTCTTTATTTAAGCAAGGAAGAAAGAAACGAATTTAAGACCAGTGAGAGAATGTTCGTATTGAATATTTAAAAAAAAAAACAATGAACAAATAAGCAAATCCAAACACAGTTTAAAAAGAAAAAGGAAAAATAGCCGTTGTCAATGTTACGCAAATCATCCATTTTATGTATTTCATTTTTGTATGCCCATTTGAGAAATAGGCACTTGTACTTATATACTTTCGATTTATTCACACCATTTTTATTATCAATTTTTGTTTTTACTATTCTTGTGCAATTGTGTTCCCCCGTTTCAATTTCTCTTTCGATCGAACCATTTAGTTTTTAATTACTTTTTATTATGCAAAGAAAATCCTCCGAAGTTAGAAAAAAATATATATTTGTTTCATGATTTTTATCGGCTGAAGCAATTTCATTCATAATTCATTTACGTTTGAATTCTATTTATTTTATTAAATTCAAAACGCATGTTTTTCATGCAGATTCTTCAACAATTTCATGAATAACCAATAACAGTTTAAATCAATATTATAAACAATAATAAAAGAGCGCATGTGTAACTTTTCTTTTCAATAGAAAAAAAAATCCATTCTATCGCCAATTCTTTAGTTTTCTAAAATGAGAAACGGCATAAAAATAAACAAACACAACACAAACATTTAAAGAAAATAATATGTAATAATTGCAGATTCGCATAACTACGAATAATAATAATAATCTATTATTAATTGTATATGGTAATGAAAACTGAAAGCAAAAATTAAAAAAAAAAAATCTTTCATTAGGGGCTAAGTCTTTGTGTCACTCACTCTTATCATGGAATTGCATATATGATGAATATAAAGATATGCTCATATTCCGATGCACGAACTAGAAAACACGACTAGCAAAATGAAATATTCCTCTCGACTTTAAGAAATATTTAAAAAAAAGGCAGGCGTTGTGCCAGTTGGAAATATCTTGCATAAAGATGACGACGTTCACAACGACTACACATTTACGTAGTTTCAATATAAACTTAGAATCAAATGGGTTTTAGTGCATCGCAATGAAGTAGAAGAAGAAGAAAAAAATGAACGTAACATCTATTTGCAGAGACAAAACTTGCGACACGCGTTTTCTGATATACAGCGAATGCTTTTTTCCACATACACACACACTCACACATACCTACACTCATAATTCAAATTGAGAACGATGATGAACGAAGTAACTAACTTGTAATTTCATTCATACTCATGCAAACAATGTATTTGTAAGTGGGTTTCGGCTAAACTGTCCAAAGTCTCTTGCAAAATGGCCGAACTCTGTCCAATGTATTCAATGCAAAAAGAAGACGAAAAAAAAAACACAACAACAACGAAATGTCGAAAGATTGAAAGGAAACAACGATATATAGAATGTATGTTTCACTTTGGAATGACTTCATGAATATAATCGATGGGTTTCTTACGTCATTTCAAAAGTCGATGTGTTTTTCGATTTAGATTTTACCATCGCGATCTTTTCCGAAAGTCAATTTTGAGCCGGGTCACAACACTTCTTCGCTTCTTACAAATTTTTTTCAGGTCATATTACTTTTTCTGTATGTTTTTTTTTTAAATCTTCAGTTACGAAGGCATTTAATTTAAGTTTGTTTCTGCCATGCACACACATTGTGTCGTATGGCATTGTTAGAAAAATATATATTCTTTTTTGGCGATTTTATCGCATACATCGTGTCTCCACCTAAATTTTTACGTTTGTTATTTGATTTTAAGCAAGGTGGCCACAATTATGTTTTTCGATCCAATTTTCAATGCAAATTGATGGATGTCAGAACCTTATTTCCATGTAACCGATTAATTAGTCGATATTTTTTCGTTGATATATTTAATTACATGTCGAAATCGACCTCGAACTCAATTGTTATCCTATTTAGCTCAATCTAACCGATACAATTTGTACATCATGAACGCATTTGAAGAAAAAAGATAGCAACATACATATAAATATACAGAGATCAAAAGAAACATAACCTCTCATTGAACGAATTTAAAACGCTGTACATAAATGAACACAATAATATTTGTCAGTAATATCAAGATAAATGTAACCATACAAAAAAAAACACATAATTACAAATCATATTTATTGAGATAACCCATCGAAATCGCATGTATGCGGTTGAATTTTATCCATCATCGAAACCGTTTACAAGAAAAAGAGAATACTCGGGTCGTTTGGTATTGAGTCATTTTGATCAACACACAATATAATAAAATCACTCCCTGGGAACAAAAATTAATTCCTCCTTCTATTTTTTTGTTCGTGTTTCTTTTATGTTCTTACTTTGTTTTCCGTTTTTTTCTACATTCGTCAATCAAAAAAGAGGTTTTACAATCAAATTTTCGGCGCCACCAATTGGTGGCAATACAATGAGTTGAATTCATTAAAAAAAGAGAAACATCGTTTGGAATTCGGTTTGAATTAGAGACAAAAAAGCATGTGGTTTAAATTCGCTAGTTTGTGTGAGAAATGAATATTAAAAGTAACTTTATTTCAAAAGTTCATCAGGTGATCGAACGCATACTTGGTGAACACACAGTAAAAAAAAAAACAATCGGGGTTCTTTGTATCGAAGAGAAGAGAAATTGTTTTCAAATTCAATTACATAAAATAAAAATTTTCATTGAAAAAAACAAACACAAAAAAACATCAAACCTAAAGGGACATATTTAGATTAACCAAAATATATATGTAATAAACACAATGAAAAAAATACACACATACAAGTACAATTACAATTATACATATATAATTATTAATGGTAAATGGAAATGAATGAAAAAAAATAAACTACAATGAATTGATTTTAGTCGGTAATTGTGTAAGTGTTGTAATTCGATGTAACGTGCATTTTAGATTTATAGCCGTAAAATAGAAGATATTTCATGCTCCAATGCAACAAAACCTTAAGCAAAAATTTCAATAACAAAAAAAAAAATACTTTAGAGATCCCCATCATGGATGTAGATGTGAAATGTAAGACGATAAGTGAATTTCTCACTGTTTCTTCGTACAAAATTCACATGCAATCCAAAATATTCTACCTACCATTCTACATACACAAAAAAAAAAAACATCCAGACAAACAAACAACTATTGCGCGTATATTATTAATATTAAATTAGTGTCAAACATGGATTTTACATTTCAGCAAGTAAATTTTTAATCTCTTATACAATATTACATAATATTAATAATAAATAATAATTATACATAATGGTAATTTAATTGAAACAAAAAATACTACATTATTAAAATTAAATCAAATTACGATTTTAATGGAATACTTGATTAATTAATAATGCATACATTACAACAACAAAAAAAAAATCACAAACACACACACAAGTCATGGAATTTTATGCGTGAAAAATATAAGACGTGAACAATTTTCAAAAACAAATAAAACAAATGTATTGAATGCTTGCGATGATTGGTCGTTTTATTTTGTTAATTTAATTCCTCTTTTTTCTCAATCAATTGAGTCTTTTGCTTTGATTTGCTCTCTGGATGCTTGAATAAAATAAACATGATTCTTTAGTTGGCACATGCATCGATGGACATGCATGTCAATTTGTAGTTTTATTTCATTGGAGATGTTCATTGGGAACAAAAAAGTTCAATGTGGGTAAGGAAGCACTCCGATGGAGGATGAGAATTAGAAAAAAAAGCAATAAAAAATGGTAAGTACTAAGTAGTACCGAAAAAAAACTAGAAATAAATTAACTTGCTACAATCTGAAATAAAGGCAAATACACTTACGTCACGTGACTTAATGAAATGCATTGATTGACTGTAATCATTGGAAAACGCAACACTAATCTGTCATTATAACGAATGGCGAATGTCACAACATTGTTGTTTTGCCATTATTATTTGGTTGCTTTCCGTTCAATACTTTCAATGTAATGACCTCACTTTCAATACGATGATAAAATGTCGATGAAAAGACCCCATTTGAATTCACAAAGTCACTCTCTTTGACTCCCTCTTGCATGTTTCCAACTGTAACACGCACAAGAGAAAAAAAGACCTTCCAAAATGTGCGGTCAATCAAAGTTAAGTATGTCGGCCGTAAAAAAAGGGACACATGAAACTTCCAAAAGCGTCAATGGTAAGAGAAAGCGAAAGAATACGCGGCAAGCTGTAGCATTAAAATGATCGAAAACCAAAAAATCATCTTAACTCACCCTCAAGCATTGCGATATCCTTAATAGAGACATCTTTTGCTAGAATGCCGCAACTTAAGCGACCATACAAGGGGAATTTTGTACGATAAAAAGGTCATCGTGACTATGATGTGATCGATCGACGAAAACTTTGCACAGTTTTTGAAACCGAACAAACATGGTCGCAAACATGCTTGTTCAATTGCAGTCAACAATTGTACACTTGGTGTTTACAAAACAAATATTAATTCACATTCATTCTCCTTCCCACCCTTCTATGTTCCCTTTTGGCCATAATTCGCTTAATACATCGACGAATTCGTCCAAATTGGCTTGATTAACATTTCCCGAATGTTCAAGTGTAATTATATTTGTGTTCAAAGAAAAACACCGGCGCGGGGGTATGGTATTTGGAATGCGAAAATAATTGGCAAGTTGAATTAATTGGTTTGGCATATTGCTGGTGTTTGTTGTACTTTAATTCATTCGACAATGAACCATTTTCAGCTCGAATCAAGATGTGTATGTATATGAATATCACACTTGAGCTCATCGCATCTCTCTCTCTCTCCCACCCTCGCCTCGAGTTGGCTTAAACTTTTCTTATTTGAATACATTTTATGTACATACATAGCATTATCCCTTCCTCGTCGAGGCACTGGCGTACACACAGGATCAAAGTTTATTTTATGACATAATTTCCAATGTGAAAGCGTATTCTCGCATTTGATTGCAATTCGGACGAGTGAGAGCGAAAGAAGTAAATAAAGAGGGATTTTTCTATGTCGGTCTTTCGGTTTTGATATCATATACAAACAACGATGGTACATAAAGTAATATCGGATTGCACACATGCTCAATAAGCGCACAATTCCCAAATCATATCTTCTGATGTTTCCGTATTCTATGAATATATTCAACCGAAAAAAAATCTCTCCCTCTCTCCTGTTTCTATGTTTGTGCGACTTTTGATAATATTTTTCTTTTGGTTGCATTTTTTTCTCTTTCATTTTCTACGACATGAAATTAGAAAATATTCGTGGTTGGAATATGTCGATTTTTATCAGAAAATGACTTGGCAACATCTTGATGCTGAAGAAAATAATATTCAAGAAGCTGATTTGTGGTTCCACTTTGAACGTGCATCAAACACACTTAGATTACCTTAATAACACCGGCGGCGATGGCGACAATGACGGCTGACGTGACGACGAGAGAGAATTTCAATTAGCGTCAAGTAATCTCCAAGAGTAAATAAATAATATCAAACGATGTTAGTTTTCCCATAAGTGCTCCGTAATGACTTTCCATGTACTTTTACCATCTTTGCTGCTGATGTTGCTGCTTTTTTCACTTCTTCTTCTTCTTTTTCTTCTTTACAAATGTAGCAAGGGAAACAAAAATAACGAAATATTCCGTTTATAAACCGAATACATAGACAGATATAGATTTATTTTGGTAACGCCTCTGCATGTTTTACGGTACATATTTTCATGTTATTTTTTTCTTCTTTTTTTTCTTCGGCTCTCTTCACGTCGATTTAATGCCATGTCTTATATTGAATGCACCGTAGATGCTTAAGAATATACTTTGAAAGTGGATAAGATGGGAGAAATACTCGATTCACTTACTTATCAAAACTTACATCGAAACCCCTTGAAAGTAACAGAAAAAAAACAACTCGCCATATCAAATGTATGCTTAGACTCACTGTCTCATCTCAGCAATTTTTTATTCGAATTACATTCCATTCGCTAGATAAGTCTCCCTTTTAAAATGCCTGATTATAAATGCTGCCGATAGCTTCTTTACAGTTCGTGACTATTTTCCACTAATGCGATAGATAAAAATAGAGGTTTTTGAACTTGAATATAATTTTAATGCTTGCTTGTTTGTTTTTTTATTCTCAAATTCAAATTCAAAAGTTTTCAAACATATATATAAATAGACGGCCTAAGAAGAAAACAATAACATACAGAATATTCTGCAAAAAGACGAATACAAATTTATGTGAGCAAAAACCAAATATACAAACAGACAGCGCAAAGGTAAAACAGCCTACTTACATAAGAAACACATGTAAGTAGGCTGTTTTACTTTTGTGCTGTCTGTTTGTATATTTGGTTTTTGCTCACATAAATTTGTATTCGACTTTTTGCAGAATATTCTGTATGTTATTGTTTTCTTCTTAGGCCGTCAATAGATACCAGTTGTTTTCCCTAAAACTGTTTTGCATAGATACCCAAAGGCAGGAAAAGAAATAGAATCATTTTTGAGTGCATAAAGTGATTCATAATATCCTTTTTGCATACATATTAGATATATACATATCTTCAAAATTGCGAATGCCAATCTATGAGTTGCATATTTTTTTCGATTTCGTTGTATTCATGGTTGCAATCATACTAATGGTAATAGAAATAAAAAAAAAGAAATTGTATTCGAACGAGCTCGGGCTCGATAGAAGCGAAATAAGACGGCTACACTGTATCTAGAATGCACAGAAGGAAGAAGAATAAAAAGGAGAGATTGAACATAGTCATAAAAAATGTGTATATAATATTGCTAGAGCGAGAGAGGAGAACCCGTCAACAACAACGATAACAAACTGGCTTGTTTTTTTTTTTCTCGTGATGTTATTGTTGGTGTAAAACAAACAACAGTATTGCACACGGTATGAAGAATATGTCTCAGGATATAGAGATTGGACCATGTATCATATATTGACTGTGCAGCAGCAATGAGTGACAGAGTACGGCAAATCATACGTATAACACACAGTAAAGAGAATGAGTACATAGACAGAGAGTGAGAGAGTGAGCGGGCAAGCATTGAAAGAAAAATAGGATGTATTTTCCCAAGATGTGTATGGTGGCTTGGCAAGCAATCGCGTGCGCATCTATGCGAAATACACATAATACTTTTTTTTATGTACAGAGGGCACACACGATTTTTATGTTTATATATACCAACCGAAAGACGACGTACGTACATTTGCTCTCTTTATGATCTATGCTTTTATTTAATTTGACACATAGACATTTCACAAACATTCATACATTGCACACATACATCCATAGAACACGGTACGATATATGCTCTCTTACACACCTCGGCAGCGCGTGGTTCGATCTCATCGAAACTTCACCAGCTCTCTAACGGCATATGCCCGAAAACATACACACAACAAACGGGAAATACGCATACATTTGCGTGAAAAACTTCATTCATGCCATTGCCAGCCAGCGAAGCGAGTGAATGAGCGAGCGAGAGCAAGATCAAGAGAAAAAAAAGAAAGAGCGAGAGCCAACCAAGAGAAGTGAAGTGAATTTTGAGCATATATTCGGGAAAAATATGTACATTACATGGTTCGTGTCGTGTAGTTTGTACCCACTTTGATGGCCGAAATGGCAAAAACGTAAAAAAGGAATATAAAATATAAAAAAAAGAGAGCGAACGAAAGCACCCGATATAGAGAATGAGGAGAAAAAGAAGAAGAAGAAAATAGGAAAAACGACAACGACGACGACAACGGACCAACAACAACAAACAGCCGCACAGCACACACAACACACCAACAAAAACTCAAATAAATATCCAAGAGAGATTCAGAGTGCAGTAGTACAATAAACAATTTTTCGACAGTTTTCTATCAGAAGTCTTTTCGCTCTGATAGCATCTCAATTTTTTTCCTGCAATTGCACATTTTGATCTCACTGTGTGTACTATATGTGTGTGTGTGTTTTGTTTCATCATCCCGAAATCATATAATTCGGCACTTTTCTCGCGCGCTAAGCAGTCAAAGCCACCAAATGCTTGTTTATTCTCTGCCATCGACCGAACCGACCGATAACAAAATATATTTGTTGTGCTCGTGTCTTCGTCGTTGTTAGTTTTTTTTTTTTTTTC